CGTTATTCAACGTGGAGTACCGAGGCAAAAGTTAAATTTCTGTCATTTTAAGCATTGTTATTTCTTTCTGTGGTATTTAAAAAAATAAAATATTGAGCAGAATAGTCCTGAGAAAAATATTGTTTACCTTGCACTTTACTAAACAACAGCCCCTCAGCAATAACGAGTGCGGCTTTGATCTGAACGAAACGACAATGATGTTATTGTCTCTTGGCACAATCACTGAGCCCGAAAGATTCACGAATATATTGAACGCCGAAGCTGCAGTTGCAGTGGACAGGAAATCCGTCTTTTGAATGGCTGCATTGCATAGGAAGGCTGAGGGACAGCGCTGGGTGGGATTTCCTGTTCCATTGTTTGCGCAGCTGGATTCCCGTGCGTCCCTCTCGCTATTTTATATTCCCAGTGGTGGGGCCCCTCGGCCGTAATTTCCAAATGCGCAGCGTTGTGCAACGGGCGCAGTGTTCACGCAGCGCCGTTCAGCGTGGGGTCGTCCGCTCCCGCACCTTGAGAGCCACGCGGCGCCGTGATGGCGGAGGAGCCACATTCTGGGCTCCGAGTTGAAAGCCGACTGACTGCCGAACTTAATGTCTCGTTTCCACGACGATGGAATCGGTGCTGGCTCCGGTGCTGGCTCCGGTGCTGGCTCCGGTGCTGGCTCCGGTGCTGGCTCCGGTGCTGGCTCCGGTGCTGGCTCCGGTGCTGGCTCCGGTGCTGGTACCAGACAGACACATTCCCACGACGACCCAGCCCAACCAATACGGGCCCCTGGGGCCGCACACTTCGATCTGGGCTGACCCTAGAAACCGCCGTGATGTCACGGGGTCAGCGTGGAAGCGAGACGCGCACGCGGGGACGTCCCACGTTTGACAGCTTGGCCGTGCGAGCGCTACGCGTATGGAAAATTACATCAACGGACTTGGCCCAGATAAGGGAGCTAGCCACAGTAATGGTGAGCACGCTGGACTTACAAACCCTAGGTCAGCGGCTCGATTACAACTCCCGGCACGGCAGTTGTAATAACAGGGAAAGTTTCTTAAACCGCCCCCTCCTCCATCCACCCAGCGGTGTACATGGGTTCACTATTGTGAGTCAATCAGCAGGTCGCATGCGTTGGGGTAATGGGTGCACCCACCTCTTCCAAAACCTGTGGTCAGTGTGGAAGAGTAGGCCATATATCCTTTTGGGTTCGCTCATGGTGGACGCCATTTCCGCCAACAGTGGCGTGTGAGCAGGCGATTTCAGGGCTGTGCCATCACATTCAGTGGTGGTGAAACACATCTGTGGCCCACAGGCCGAACGCGACCCACTACTTCATTTTGTATGACCTGAAGGCATGCGAGGCCTACCACTGCTTAACGTCTCATAAGCGATATAATCACTGCAAGCCTCTTGACCCCACTAATCGAGTGCTTGAGAGGAATATGTTTTACCTTGTTTCTAATCTAAGTGTGCTCGCTCGTCACTTCTGTCATTTGCAAGGTTAAATAATTTACGTGGTGATACCGCGTTGGCAATGGTGCACAAACATGAATCACAAAAACTCCAAACAATCGTAAATAAATATTTCCTTTTAAGGCAGTGTTATTGACGAACGTGTTGAGTTGTTGTCGCTGCAAGGCCATCTTTCAGTGACAGAAGTGACTGAGTTGTGGGTGATCACGTGTGGCCCAACAAAGATATTGGACAGTCCCGTGTGGCCCTCAGGAAGGAAAAGGGTACCTGTGCCCTGCCCAGATTAATAAAACCTAATATATCCACTGGCCATGTAAAAAATGTTAACAGAAGCTTTTTTACAACAGCTCTGTGACCTCCACGCCCAGGGGTAGAGCCACGTGGGAGGCGTGGCAGAGCGTGCTGTTTGTGTGCCCGGATAGAGACGCGGAGACACAAACCACACACGAATTGACTGCAATTGCTTCAAAACGTTGTGAATATTTGTCAATCTTGCTGCATCGCAGCATGGCCCAAAAGGCCCGCAGGAGCCCCACGTAGGGGCGAGGGAAACGTATTTTATTTAAGTGCCTTCCTGACCAACATCTGGGCCACGGGCGTTGAATGTGAACTGGGGTATGGCTCCGAGAGATGTTGTGAAATACTCGAAAATCGGCCGGCGGGCAGATGGAGGGAGGTTCTTCCCGTGGGAACGACGAGCCGCCGATGGAAGCCAACTCGGTGCGTATCCACCAGGGCCGCCCGGGGCCTCGCACGACCCTGACCGAGCCATGCGCCGGCCAGAGCACCCGGTGTAAAGAAGTTCATAACCCGCACCAACCCACGTGCTCCATAGCAGATGAGCATTATGCGTACATAGGATTGCATTAGGGCCTGGCAGAGTGTGCTAACGCAGTTGCGGGTATATGATTAAAAATGGCGTTTGATGAACATGGCGGCTCAATGAGCAGTGGTGAACGGGGTCATTCGCCACTTAATCTCCACTGCTGGCCACCCGACCTGCGGAGAATGAGACTGTGGGTGGATGGAGTTCTACTTCCCTGACCTGGTGTCTACTTGGATGACTCTGTGTGGGGCATTGTTGCACGAGTATGTAAACAGACATGGATACGTCTCGCATGTAAACCAGTTCATGGTCTCAGTATCACTGGAGCTTTTGTCAAACAAAAACGATACTGGTCTCTTTTGTTTTCATTTTCAGCGGTCCTCCACTCTTCAGTCTCCTCCCATAGCTAAAAACACATGCAATGCAACCGGTCTTGACCAAACATCCCAATGAATAAAAATGTACCTGCATATTTACTCCTTCGTAATTACACGTAGCAATGTTATCCACGACTGCGTAAACTTGGTACGATCCTCCTGAAAAAAGAGTTTTGAGACTCCGTGAGGCTGCCCTTGGCAAGCGAGCATTCCGGTAATAACGATATCACGACGATTGAAGCCGCGTGCTGTGGCGAGGAGGGCGGTGGGATAACTCCGAACGCTCCCCGTAAGGAGCTCTCTTCCTCCGAGATCGCACGCGCCGCGTCTCCAGGATACGCAGAATGTTTGCAACCTCCTGCAGGAAGCTCGTACAAACGTCCAGGAAATTGTCTCGTGCGAAGAGGTGAGATATGGCATATTTCCCACGGAAAACGGACTGCGTTCGTTGTCGCCCGCCACGTCGGAGTGTACTCTTAGCGATAGTCCGTGGCTGGCCCTGTGTGCGTAATGCACACGCACGGACGCCGGGGGCCATTCGCAGGCACGTTGAGATTTGACTTTTTGGAATGAAAATCCCAAAATGCTACATTCATACGTTTTTTTGGGATGGGTTTTTGCACTGTTTGAGCATCGCAGACCACAAAACGTATGGTTTTACAACTACCATCTGATAAACATTTAGGCTCTCTTTCATATTATTATCCACCCCACCAAATTGGTTTGAATACAATTATAATGTCTGCACATCAATTTAACATGTGACCTACGTGTATCTACAGATAATAGGATGAGCCCGGGAGTGGTGGGAATGTTTATTGCTTTTTTCTCAAGTTCTCTCCAGGATCCGCTGTCAACGTCACATCAGGAGGTGCAGCGCAGCTCTTGGTGCCTGTGAATGGCCCATGGAAGCGGGTATCACAGAGCTACTTCCAACGTCCCATCATGTCGCGTCTGCCACAGAGAGTGATATTCGTTGGATGACAATCAAGCCATTTTTTTTACTCTACATGTTCGCAAATTTGTCATTGAAGGGTTTTGTGTGCTTGTGTCCCACTGTCAATGCAGTTTCACCAAGTAATATTTATATAGTCAGCTGGAACGTATCCATATTAAGTGGAAATCCAACTTATTTATCATGTGATTACAATGCGGTCATTGGTGGCGGGGCTCACTTGAGGACCACGTTCAACCACAGGCAGCTGTCTGGATTGGAACTCAGGTTCTCAGCGGTGCCTGGCTCTGCTCTCGGAATGACCCAATAAGACATTGGGAATGTCACCCCCATTGGTAATCCTGGGTGGCTTAGCGTAGAAAGGGCCTTTTACAACAGCAAGTTAATTTTTTACGGATATGTTGAACATTTCTGCGCCGTGGAAATGGCTTTAAAGAGAAACATGCAGAGCCCCTTGCGTGAAAACAACATCAGTCGTCGCCGCCGCCACCTGCGTCCATCGGCTCTGTACCACCAAATGCCTCGGAGTCAAGACCCAGGAGAGTGTTTTACAACAACATGAGATGGCATGTTCTCAAATGTTGAGCATCACTGCAACAGAATGTGGAACGACCACTCGCAGCATGAGTAATCTCAGCCCGTATCTACACATCCCGTGTGTTCTGTGTGACCACAGTGACATGCGTAAATATGCAGAGCAGCGCGGTGTCCAGGTAGGCGAGTGCATTGTCTGATGCGTCACAGGTCCTGGGTATGGTTCAGGTCACGTCGTCACAAATACTATCAGCCATTGTCTATCCACTGCTGGATGAAGACCTCCTCAAGCCGACACCTTCCATCACCATCCGTCCAACTCCTGCTCATGAACTGATCTCCTTGCTTCATCGTCTGTTGTGGTCATCCTCTTGGACACTTCCCCTCCTTTGGCTCCCATTCTATCACGAGTCTGTCAGCCATCATCATCCTCTCTACCGATGTGTCCTGCCCAAGCCCATTCACATGTCCGAGTCGGTGATGTCTCTCATATCTGCGTTCATTCCATGTTCCACATGCTTCTCTCTTTCTCTCTGTGGAATCAAATGCATGGACCTCTCCTGGTTATGCGATGGGAGGACAGAATATAACGTGAGGAAGCAATGACCTTTAACGTCCCATATGGTTGATGGAGATGTTCGTGGCTCCGCACAAAAGTCGCCGCCGCCGCCTCTCACAAGCAGGAGGTGGCGGTGTTGAGCGTCACTGTGGGTTTTTTCCGCGTTCTCTGGGTTCCTTACAAATAAAGCCAACCTCTCCTTAATGGCATTGGGCCTGAGACCCAGCGATGCTCCCCTCCGTAAATAATTGGTGTTGTTTTGGAACTAAAACACATCGTGCTTTGTTGTTGCAGGAGTAAAGACTGCGCATTGGCGGTCAACGTGGATTGCTCAACCATCGACATAATCCTTGGACTCTTTGTCTGAGGACTTGGGGCGGCGGGACGGGCTGTGGATGATCGTCTAGAGCACGGCACGATATCGGCGAGGCCGAGCGTTTCTCCTGGTGAGACAAAAAGCAACTTCTGCGAGCAGCCCGAAGCCTTGGCCTGGGAGAATGGCGGACGTGGATCTTCGCCAGCGGAGGATGCAGATATTGATGGTAATAACACTCAAAGTGATCTCATACTCAAATGAGCATTGAGGTGACACTCATCTCTCGTTTATTGCATCCGAGGTGCGAGTGGAACGCACATCTCGCCAGCCTTGCTCGATGCGCGTATTGTTGAGCTTCACAATCGATACTGATTGATGAACAGTTGCATCGTTACACCCCTAAAATGCCCGTCTCAAGTCTGGCTTGGGCCAAAAGATTTTGTTGACGCTTTGGCTTGGGAAAATGAAGAAAAAGTCGTTGTGAACGCCTCTCACCTACGATGTGGTTGGGGATAAGAGGCACGTTACCGCTGTGGTTGAAAATTTTATTTCAAAGTTACCGTAGCATTGTTAACCAAAGCATCGCCAGATAACGAGAGGTGGTAGCAGCAGCTCGTGGATTGACCCAGAGGGGTTGTAGATGATCGGAGCGCGGATAAGAGGAGTGCCAGCATTGGACTATTCGTTGGCCGCCTTCTCGTCGCAGTCAGCCCGCTGCTACATTGACGTCTCGCTGCACTTCTGGTCGAGTGTGAATGAGGCAAGGACACGGTGCCAAACGCTGATTGTTAATTCAAACCATTTCACAGTGCCCCACTGATCAGTGGAGTCGTTATTCTTGCCAGTGCAGAGTGTTTTAATGAGGCCGGCGGAGCACATTAGCACGACCGGCAAATGGTGTGTGACTGATTATCATGATTATTATTATCATTAATAATTTACGTAGCGTCCTAAAGGTTGAGGCTGTGCTGTGTGTGGCGTGCGGCACCGCGCGTAGCGGCGATTTACCTGCTCAGAGACTCCGTAAATCGTCACCACTCGGGGATTGTGCTCCATTCCAATAAACATTTCACTCTCTTGTTTGTGTTGTCGTCACATTCGCAGAGTCTCTCTGGACCGTGAAGCTGTCTCGTTTGTTACGTGTATCTCGGTTTTAGTTTCTCCTTTGTACTTTAATTTCACGTATAACGTTCCAGTAGCATTAATTAGCATACAATTTGCATGCATTATAAATAATCTGTTCTCACACACATAATTCCATACATGAGTGTAATGCTGAATGTTTTTGGTTGGTGAATCGAGGCATCATTACAATGCCTGGCAAGTGTTGGTCTCTTCCACGTCCCCTTGCCTCTCTCATGGTGCCGCCACTCTCCTGCACGTTTCTCGCCCTCGCGCCCTCCGGCCCAGGCCACCCAACCTCCCGGCTAGGCCCCGTAACCAACCTCTCAGACCTCTCAGCGTCTCCAGCAGCCTGCACGTTTCCGCTTGGGTTCCGGCTCCAATCAGGAAATTGTATATTTTCTAGGAGGTTTATAACCAGTCACTCCCTTTCAATGTGATGACGTCTTATGATTCGGTGGTCATGATGTAATGTCGTTTTTAACATTGTGTTGGACATGGCGCCTTTAGTGGCTGCAAAGATCACATTATTGCATGTGCATTCAATGACTGGATAGTGAGTTTAATGCATTATTTAATTAACTAACCCATTGCAGCATTGTTTGCCTTTAAATTAGCACATTTATCACGTGGCATTATTAATTGGCTGTCGGGTGGAGGAGGGTGTACAACACACATTTTACTCACGCAGTGTGGTTGAAAAATCAGCCAGCCTTTCCCAAAGTACTCTGCAGCGCTCCCCCGTAGCACTGTACTCCTTGCCATGGCTCCTACAGGGGGACATGCCCGTTGCTCGTCTTATTTCTGACCTGATATGACATTCCTCCATCGTGTGTCGGCGTGCGCTGGGTGTAGGAACGAAGGAAAGCGCAGACCAACATGGAGAACAAGAAACAGGAGCTCGAAGACGAGAAGCTGAAGCTGCACCACCTGAAGGTAGCGCGCTCCGCAGCAGGGCACGTGACGAGTTGTGTTTGTCTAAGGATAAGCGCCGGGAACTTTCACACGGACAATTGCTGCCTTTCATGACGAGCAGCAGTGATGATGTCACCATGAAGTCGTTGCCAGGCTTGACGTGTCTAAGGCTGCGCGCCGTGACAAAGATTCTCAGAAAAGGCCACCACATTTTGTTGGCTTGCACGTAATAATAATAATAGTAAAAATGCCCCTTTTCCCAAGAAAGCCTCTCTGAGTCTCGGGCCCTTCTTCTGGAAGGTCTTGCGCTGGGATGTTTGGCCAACTTGGAATGTGGGAGGAAACTCAGAGGGCCCAGAGAAAGCTCGCCGTGGTCGGAGTTTGCGATGTGTACACGAGGCTTCCTCATTGTTTACTTTCCTGAAATATTCGCCGCTGCTGCCGCCGCTACCACCACCACCGCCGCTGCTGCTGCTGCACCGTGTTTATGGAGGGCGGCTCCCGTCGGCTGCACAGTGGCATCAATAACAGCCTCCCCCGGAGACTGGTTCTGGTCACGTCACAGTGATTTTCTCTTTTCATCTCCTGAGCCAATACTGCCGGCTATGAACCATAAAAATGCTCCACCGCTGTTCGCCTCACAGTGGTCGTTTAAAGTTCCGGCAACATCATTCTAAAAGAATAGGCCATTGTGTGTCGGAGTCGTCATCCAAATCGAACAAATTTAGAAGTCTACCCACAATATACGCAATTGGGAAGCACACAGCACCATCGCCTCTACTGCTAAACGGCTGCAAACTGTGCGAAACGCAGCATGCTCATGCAAACCTTGCACTGTAAGGATGATGGCGCGAATACCAAATGTATTCAAGATTGGCTTGATTTAGATTCAAGTCATTTCTTTTTTTTGACGTAGTTAAAGTAGCTGCCACACATACCTGCCAGGATTCACGAGAATTCATTCACGACAACTCATTCACTACAAGATACACCAATTGTGCGCAGTGAATTTCTACACTCGTGATTAAATACACGGTGCTTCGTGAGTTTAATAACATTCATCGATTAATCCACACGTCGTTACACCCCTGCTAACTGAAATATTACGAGCCACAATTATTCACGCGATGTGTATTTGTGGTACACCACCCTGTTGTCATGGCCCGTCGTCGTGGTGCCCTGCGGTTGTCATGGCGCCCTATCCGCGTGCGAGCAGACCAAGTCGATGCGGGAGCAGTGGCTGCTGGGAGGGCAGCTCAAGAGGACACCGTCCCAGACAGACATGGCGGAGAAGCGCGTGATGGAGGATGAGGCCCTGACGGAGCGGCTCTATGAGAACGTGCGCAGGTGAGGCCGTGGTGCGTGGGTGTAGGGTAATGAGACGTCGTTGTTCCAAGGACCCTGTCATTGTCTGTATCCTCAAAAGAGAACCGTCTTGTTCTCCATCATTGCAGTGGCTCCTTCAATGCACTGCCCATTATTATTCATCATCATCTTATTAACAATAAGCACACTTTATAGTGCATGCACGTTGCTCGATCATGATGGCTGATCGCGATGCTGGGGTCGACTCTCTGCCATCAGCATAAAACGCCAGCCCCCGTGTTGTGGCGCTTGCGGTGCGCAGGCTGGAAGAGGAAGTGAGACGCATGGAATGTGCGGAGCGGGAGCTGCTGCTGCGAGAAAAGGCCGTGCTGCAGAAACTGCACCCCGAGGAGCCCCCCGCAGATGGCGTCCAGCAGGTGCCCTGTACACACTTGCGGGGTCGACGCCAACTGACTGTACACTCAGTATACAGCACAACACGCATACGTTTTACTCAGATGCAAAATCGATTATTAATTCTGACAACTGCCTGATGATGCTCGTTCTAACTATACGCAGACCGTCCGTACCCAATAGTTAAATGTTGTGAGATCGCTCTTCCACACGCCGGTAGTGCTACTGAAGCAGCGCATTTCTTCATCATATGACAACTTTATTAATTGGTCGCGTCGGATGGAGGAGGGTGTACAACACATTTCACTTGCGCGATCTGATCTTGAAAAATCTACTTTGAATCAGAATATTGGTGGCAAATGCCTACGTGTTAAAAATACAGAAAGCAATGAGGCTCCCACCTACTGAGACTCTCATTCACCACCCCCAACCGAAATCTGCCAAGCAGTGGTGTATGAGAGGCCCTCTGAGCACCCCCCCTACCCCCCTCCCTTTGGTACTGCTGATGCCCCTCATTGTCTCTTTCCGAGACACAAATGACTCGGGTAATACAATTGCAGATGAGGCGATTGGTGGTAAAAACCGATGGTCTGTGATCATTGTGCTCAGGCGTGTAGTTGTAGCAGCTCCGTCACGGTTCTTGCCTTTGCGACTCAAGACGTTGTGACAGACCATTAATGGCTTAGAGTTCACATATGTGATTATAATTTGTACTGCACAGACACACATTTGCTGTTTAACCTGGAATGCAGTTTGCGATGAAGCTCACGCTCTGTGTTGTGCCATTCTCAGGATGTAGAGACCATGCTCCCTGATGATGACGGTGAGACCCTTGTCATATTCTGATTTTGACACCATTTCAGTGTTCCATGACATGCCACTGGTAATCTCATCCATATTTGTCCCTCCACATTAAAAAAAAGTATTTTACACGCATTCGATCAGCTTACACACACTGCCATCTGGAGGTGCATAATTATTTGGTTCAACGCAAGTAAATTTTGGACCGGTTCCAACATTCAGTGTCTCATAAGCAGACTCGGGCATAATTTGGCAGTTAACCAGCATTGGATCAAGAAAGGCTAGCAGATATGGGAAAGAGGAGTACTGTCTGCTTATTAATCCCGTTGCATAAATATTGAACAGGCTTGCAGCAGCAGTTTATAGGAGGTAAGGTACATTATGCAGCGCTGCGTCATGCCAGCTGCAACAATGTTTTCATTTTGACTGCACAGAACACGTGCAGTTTACAGTCACAGCATGTTAGGTTGATGGGCAAAAACAATTCTTTTTCGATTTGTTACTCGCTAACATCGGCACTATCATATCCTGTTCCATGCGTCCTCATCTCACCCATGAAGGACATCTGTAAACACTAGACACTGGGCACTGCTAACTGCAAGTACTTGTGTGAAATTGATTAAATCACAGATTCATGCACGATGCCCAAAGCATTGAGAACTAACCTACGGCCAAGTCCACCGGAATGCGCCCGATCTTATGAGAACTTTAAAGTTGAACAGGGGTGAGCCTGGTTAGTGCTTGGATGGGCGACCACCTTGCATTATAACAGGCGTTGTAGGAAATACATTGTCAGCAGACGGCAGCAAAGCAAAATCGATTGTTGTGCTGTGTTCAGCCTATGCTTCCCACATTCACCAGCAAGGTTGTAAAATCATGTTGCGTGGCTCTGGGTGGCTCCACGTGGCTCTGCAGGAGGGGTGCAGTACATCATCACGGAGATCCCCGACCTCCCCCCGGGGTTCACCCTGCGTGGCGCCCACGGCGACGGCCCCAGCGAGCACGGCGAGAGGGCCGGTACGGCCCCCCTCTATCCCTCTCCCTCTCCTCCCTCACTTCACAGCAGCTGCTTGTGTATATTTCAGTGGATTTCTCAGAAGTAAACATTGGAAAGCCTCCATAACAGGTTTTTTGGGTTAGATCGCGTACACATATAAATGTGTCGTTAAACCCGCCACCACCCGACACAACCAACTAGTAAGGGTTGTCACGTAAACAGAACGTGCCAATTCGTCACTAGTACAGCACACCGCTGTGTTGGAGAGCTAAGCCACAACATTAACAATCTGAGTACGACGTTTCGCCAGTAATTACAACTAGCTTCATCAGGCAACAGCCAGATTTGTGGAGAACATTTTATTAATCTGCAGTGTATCTGCAATTTGAAAGTAGTGTTTCCCACAGCGCAATGTTTCTCTTATTAGACACGAACCGCACGCTCTTTGTGTTGTTTGTGTGCCCCGCAGCCGTGTACGCGATGGCCATCAGCGTGGAGAAGGACTCCAAGACGGGAGAGACGCGGGTGGTGTCCAGCACGCCGATGAGCCCCGAGGACGCGCAGTCCCACGGCGTCAAGGTTTACGACGACGGCTCCAAGGTGGTTTACGCCATCGGCCACAACGGGCAGCCGCTGACCAACGGTGTGGAGCCCATGTCCTCGGAGGAGGTGGACGCGCTGGTGTCACGGGCCAGTCCCGTGGACGTGCCGGCGGCTTCTCCCAGCCCGGAGCCGAAAGCGACGACGAACAACGCGGACGACGACGCCCCGGCGCCGACCGCGGAGTCTCCGGGTCCGGCCGCGAGCTCGGCAAGCCCTCAGGCCAAGTCCCCTCCCCTGGCTAAAGAAGCCGTGATGGGCATCGAGACGAAAGACGGACTGTCCCGAGTCTACCTGCAGCCGAACGCCGTTCACGGTGACGCCGCCGACGACCGGGCCCCGAAGCCGGCGGGCGACGACGAGGGCACGGGGGGGACGTCGATCGCGGGCGGGGACATCAATCCCGAGAGGCCCGTCACCATGGTGTTCATGGGCTACGAGCAGGTGGAGGACGAAGAGGAGACCAAGAAGGCGCTGGGCTACGAAGGCGCCGGCACGGCCGAGCTGGTGGTGATCGGGGGCGACGACGACGACGCCGACGACGCGACCGCGGCGACGCCACTCACGGCGGACCCCACGACGGGCCCGGTGGAGCCACCCCCCAGGGCCACCAAGAAGCCGTGTGCCTGTCGATGCTGCACCATCATGTGAATTGCTCTCATTATTCAGCTTTGTCTGTAGAGTTAAAGAACAGCAGCCAAACGCGGTGTTTTACCCAAGAAAATGTTTGTCGTATTAGATGCTGTAAGCGTGCCTGAAAAGAAGAAAAATGTATCAGCTGGAAATGTCCATATTTTACTTTGACATATTAGCTGCATTGTATTGTTAAAGTCTAGCCAATAGCATTCAAGGGATGATGCTCATAAGTGCCATAAGTTTTACTGTAAGTCATTCAGGTTGGCTGGTCCGCTCCGTTCGAGATCCCGGTGGGACGTGCGTGCGAGTTGTGAATTCTCACTTCAGCGATGATCCGTGAATTCTCACTTCAGCGTCGATGGCCGTTGTGGATCATCGCTCCTGCTCGACAGCCATTGCACCAATCACATTCACTCAGCATCATCTCGGACTTGGTGCCTCCATGCCAAAGAAAATCTTTCATTTTTCAGCGTGTAATCTTTTTATATGAAAATGTGTATTATGTACAGGATCTTATAATACGAAACATTGTGATTAAAGAGGGGTTCATGGTTTTTAGATCTTGATTTTCTAAATTCGTACGATAAACGTGAACTCGCAGGCATCCGTCGTCCGCACATTCTCTCGCAGGCAACGCTTGCACATATCCTCGCACGCGAGTTTGTTTCATTGATGGAATTCAGTAATTAGGCGTTGCCGGCCCAGTTTTCTGTGCATATCCTCCTCCAAGTGTCGGATTTTACACTATGGAAGAGACGGATCTACAAACTTCCCAAGGGAGGTCCTGAACTGCAAAGCTTTTTAAATAGGACTCTACATCGATAACGTAAATATATATTCACTGTGTTCTCCATTAAATATCAATCGAGTACAGTCCTAATGGTGTGGGTCACAAGGAGGGGGGGGGGGGGACAATTGCCCAATCACCCCCCCCCCACTCCCCCCAGATCCACGACTGCACTGTCGGTATCCCCAATGCGCAGTGGAATGCGTTGACTCGCGTGCCAAATAACAAGCACAGCATCTCAATACTCAATTTGACATTTAAAAAACGCCCGACCACAAGTGTATTTTGTTTTCACCATCTGAGAACTCGAGAGACCAGGATCGTCTCGTTTGCAGCAGTGGCTTGGTGATACCGCACCGGGGGGGGGGGGGGGGGGGGGGGTACTCCACGTTCACAATCCACGTTCACAATCCCCACAGCCACGAGGCTGCCGTGCGACCTCACCGCCACGCCCGTTCGACTTGGGACGAACATCGCAGCTCTGTGGCCCCCACGCGCGCCGCCCCGCGGGGAGCCTCGGCGGCACGCCGCACGCTCGTGCAAGCGCCGCGCGTGCGTGGTCCGTCACGATCCTCCTCTACACAATCGCACGGTGGCTCGAGTCGACTGCAGTACACGTGGATACATATACTCTGCATTACAACAAAGAGGACAAGGTATTGTCCTGAATGAGCAGGCAAGAGACAATGAAGACAATGTGTCTCGTTTGCAAGAAATATACTCACAAGTGCACAGGGTAAAAGTGATGCGTTATACTCATTTTTAATCGAGCGTAAAAAAATTGTACAAATGGCAATTTTTCTGCAAAATTTTCAAAACCATAATAAAATTTGCGGATAAAATGTGCAGTTGCAACGCTTTAATTTTGCAATAATTCGCGGTTGAAATGTTCCACGCAGTGTTTGCATCTCGAGAAATGGCAGTTGCCTAAGATGTCTTCATCAACCAAAAGGGATCCCACTCAGACCACATCTTATACAACACTCGCCTCTTCCAACACGTCCAGTGAGTGTGGAAGAGTAGACCAAATGCCTTCTAGCATTCCCTCTAGAGTAAGCCCTTCAGCCAGCAGTGGCGTGAGCAAGCAATTGCAGGGCTGCACCTTGTAAGAGTTTTATGTACACATTCATTATTTACCCTTGGGCCATGTTTTATTTACATGCTTGTGTCACGAATGGAGTTGGATTGCTTTGAAGGCCGTGTCCCAAGTTAGATTGTGCAGCCATGGCTGCTGAGATGCAACCACCTACTTACCGGAGGTCACGTTGTGCGTGAAAAGAACATCAACTTACATTTGGGTTGTCACTTAAATTGGAAAGCGTCCAACTGAGAATTTAAATATAATTGCAACAAATTTCAGCTCTGAGAATTTAAAAATAATAAATGAACTGTCACATCGTGAACTTATCTCCATAGCAAGGTATGTGGGAACATTCTACCCATCGTGTAGATAAGAGGTCACTTCAAGCGATCTCAGAAACAGTTCTATAATATCTCGTTCTGTTGGCTGTTGCAATAAAATTGGTAGAAGGCAAAGTGTTCATGTAATTGAAGAGAGCGATAAGAGTCCGTTGTTCTAGCTACACGCCAGCAATGCCACGGACTTTACGCAAAGTCAAACAAGAGGGCATCTGGCAGGGCTCGTGGTGCGCCTCAGTGGCTCCCTCGCGCGGCTTCCTCCGAGAGCCTCTCGCCTGCTGCAGGAGGACCCCGCGGTGGGACGAGGCCCGGCAATCCACGCAGGTGCAGCGCCTGGGCCAGATGCTGGGCATCGCAAATTGCGCCCACAGAATCCATCAACCATCTTCTCACATCTGTGCAAGTTACAAATACTGCTATGCAAGCTCTGTACAAAATAGAGCAGAACTCGTCCTATACCCATTTACAACAGTTTGCCAACCCCAATGTCTCTGTGAAAAGTAGACACATTAAGACATTTTTTGTGAATTTTTGCCAAAGGTTAATGCCATTAAGTACACACTTAATTTCAGCAGAAACTGTAACTTTCGATTGTAACCGCATGTATTTTGTTCATGAACTGTTCGCATGAAAACTGCACAATGTGTGCTGCAGCCCCACTCGCACTGTGCCCCGTGCCCCATGTGCATTGTTCGATGTGAGCGGAACCCCTCGGCATTTCTTGGCAATGATGTAATGCTGGCAGTGATGTAGTGCTGGCCAGTTGAAGTGGTCTGGTGCAGTGTGTGTGGCATGTGAAGTGCATGGGAACACTCAACTATTCATGGTGGCTCTTAAAAGCAGCGTTAACCTGAATGTGTATGTATGTTTAACTTCTTTCGCGCCGTACGTAGCCAAAGGTGCTAATCGGAGTTGCGGGGAAAGGACAACAAACTAACCACAAAAATAAGAAATCCGAGTGAAAAGAAAACACTTTCAATTGTTTGTCTTTTCCCCAATGTTTGTTGTGCTGTTGATAGGGCCAAGTATCCAATCGGAACTCTTGCCAAACAAGCGCATCGCCCCATTTCGGAAATGGCCTGTGGAAGCAGATAACACAGAACCTCATCTGAAATCCCTTCAAGTGAAACTGTGTTTATTCACACACTATGGGTAACTGCACCCGCATAGACGTTCGTTGCATTGCAAAATAATTTTTCCTTTAATTCTTAGAACTTTAATTCTAGCCGAACAAAGTGAAAAATAATTAAATATAATCTCGTGCAGTCATTGGTGACTCGTGTGAGCCCACCAGGTGGTTATCCTTAAGGAGTCTGGTTTAATCACGGGCAGCTAGCTGAAACCCAGATTCAAACTCCGAATCTGATTTGCAATGTCAGCTTAGCGCTCTGACCGCTGAGCCATGCGCCCACCTCAATACAAATGTAATATTTTAAGCGAACAGGTGCCACCACGGAGAGCGAGATGGTGGGTGAGAGAGCGGGGAAGCGGAGTGAGAGGCCGAGCTCCCGGGAAACGAGAGTTGAGCATCTCCCGCACCCATTCCTCCTCCCCCTCCTTCATCAGCGTCCCTCTCACTTCCTTGAATCACTGCAGTGGTTGAGATCTTGGTTCGGGGTTGACTTGGCCCGCAATCCCTCCAGGGTCTACGAAGTGAATACAAAAGTGAAATTCCTTCTCTGTGTGGATATAAAAATAGTCGCCCAATGGAGACAGAACAGCCCCGGCCATGAGAATGTGGAATGATGATCCATGCCCCTCTCCGGTTTGAACACTGGAACCCGAACCCACCCCTTACGCGGTCTCACCACACGATGGCAGTCCACTCATGCGTGGCATTGCTTAAAAGTGCTTCGCGTGGGTCCTGCAAATTTCACTTCTCATACATCGTCATCATCATACTCAGCCATGGTCAATCTACTGCTGGCTGAATGTTTCCCCAACAAGCCATCGCCAGCTCACGTGCTCCTGTGCGGTAACAATCCACCTCCAGCGCCTGCGCGTGAGCTGATTTAATCACAGTTGCATCTCATCTTGCTCTCGACAAATCGCAGATATCATCACGATCAATGATGCTGTAGATGCCACTGCATCTCAAAATCACTTCATTTTGTTCTGCCAGATCCTGTAACCGCTGCAGAGTCGACACTCAACCTGCGGTGTCTGCTCTGACGGGAGTAGCCCACCGTCACACTCCTCGTCCGTTCGGTATCCTTCCCTGCCCATCGCAAACGCCCCCTGTATACAAGACAACTTGATTCAAAACTTCCAAGTTGACGCACTCAGTCCTACCACGACACTTTTTAAGGTTCATCTGCATACACCCGCAGACTCCTCTGCATACGGCTACACCTAAAGTAGAGACGTTCATTTTTTAGTTTAGTTCAAGTCTAGCACTGACCCGTACACCAACACAGACACTGCTCCTGCCTCTTATACCTATTTATTATTTTTAAAGTTAATCTCTGTCCAATATTGCTCAGTTGCTTTTGTCGGCCGTTAAACACTCGCTGTGCCAGTCTTGCTGCGCATCCTAAGCACAGATACCTGCACAGGTACCTGTGCATGTATCCGTGCAGGTATCTGTGCAGGTACCTGCACAGATACCTGTGCATGTATCTTACCAACACCACGTCGAGGTTCCACACACGCACATAAATCACACTGCACCGATACTCTGTACTAAAGTTTATTAACTACGCACATACTACCTGGGGGGGAATATTTTGCGAGAAGATCCTAGCCTAACTCCGCCTACGAACCCAATCGCTCAAAACACGGATGCTGCGAGCGGCCCGAGGAGGCAGGACGGCAGGGAGTGGGTCTTGGCGGCCCGGAAATTGAAGACAAGAGACCTAAAATCGTCCTGGGTTACTCGTTTTATTCTCTAAACTTCAAAGGCCCAGAGTGGCATTGCACCGCGCGGGCAATCGTGCGCCTACCTGTGGCTACCCCCCCCCCCCCTGTTAGCGCGTCCTTGCTGGAGTCCGCAGCAGCCACCCATCGTCCCTCGTTGCCCATTGTCTGGACGGGCGCTGCGCTTTTCTTGCTCAGTATTCCCCCCCCTGTCCCCCCCCCCCCCCCCCAATGTCGTAACTCATTGCGGTTGGCCCAGGGAACCTTGTCTTTCTGCGCCCATACAATTTCAAACCAATTTTAGGGGCATCGCAATGTCACCTGCCCTGCGAGGGCCGGCCAATTTCCTGGCACTGGGAAACCGTGGGACTTTCCTTCTAGGGGCCCTTCGGATTAAAACCCGAAGTGCCAGGCCACCCCCCGCCAGGACACGACGTGGGTGCAAGTGCTGAGTATGTGCGTGTGCTCGGGGTGGGGGCGAGTGGACAATCGCGGTGCTTGCGGAGTCGCTCCGCGGTTGTGGCTCCACAAATGCATTCATGAATCCAAAAATATAGATTCTCACACGCGATAACATTTGTGTAGCATGAGCTTAAATAATCAATCATGTAATCGGTTAATTGGTTAATTTTACCCCCTAATGAACATGCAGGTGCTTTAGTAACCACTGTGATCATTGAAATGTTGCGTTGTCTTCAGTAGGCTGGAGACAAAGGAGTCAGATTTCACACAATATGCAAAATCAATAAATTCACCGGCGCTCACATTCCAAAGCCAAGTACAGTATGTGGGCACACAACACAGGTGAGCGAGCGGCGCTGTGGTCGCCAGGCGTTTGGCAAGCGAGGCAGGCGGAGTGAGCATGGCGAGTGCCGCACCCCGCCTGTAGTCCAGGTCTGTGGAGGCCGGCTCAGTGTGCTGTGTGGCCCAGCTTCACACACGCCACAAACACGCACTCACGGGCTCTGAAACTCAAGATCGACGCGGAGTTCATTCCCCTTACTCCGCCTCGTTTCGGGAGAATGACGGCCGTGTGTGTGAATTCTGCCTGGAGCTGCAATCGCACTGGCGACTTTTGCATTGCAGCGTGCGACCCGTGGCAATGCCGCAGCAGCTCCATTCCTTTCCCTGCTAAACGAGCGCGCGTCCTTTGGACCCCAGCCAGCCAAACTTTTTTGTTTGCAATATGGAATTAATGGTAAAAAGTGTTGTGTTTGTTGCTAGACATCTCTACCAAAACTGATTTTGACAAACCTCGTCTAGTCCCAAGCTCTATCTGTCGTACCTCGTGTCGCCCTTCAACCACTTGGGTCGGAGGTTTTCTCAACGCACTCACAGTGCAAGGCACTCAATGCAAGATTAATACCATGCATTTTTCATTCAAATTAAAACCTGTAATAGTGCTGACCGTGTAGCGTGGTGAATAATTCACAGTCGCCAGCATCATCACGTTTACAATCGGCGTGTGCAATGTTTACCATGTCAATGGCACTACACTGTATTTCATACAAATCGTTGCCGGGCCAACGACCCCGGGCACGGGCACTTGGGCACTGATGGCTGGAAC